TAAATTAAGTAAAGATATCCTGGCTATATACTTTTGATGCATTAACATCTGCCAAGGGGTCTATTAGTCAGATATTCACCTGGCTGTGTGCACACAACACTTGTCTCTCAGTAATTTGTAGTTTTAAATTCTTCAAGATTTTTTGTAAATTTTCCTAGAAGATTTTTTTTTTCCTAGAAGATTTTTTGTCTTCAAAATAAACCATTCCCTACCCCTTTCAATAGTTTTTATTGCTCAACCCCAAAATGCAAAAAAAAACTCAACAACCAATCAGAAATATCACAATGGTAGACAGTGAGAGGCATGGTGGAGCTTACATTTCATGATGAATGGCTATCTAGAATAAGATGAATGCAATTTTTATAGAAAAACCAACAATGTTAAAACCTGGTCCAGACAGATAGCACAGCTGATTCTACATTGAAACATTCCCTGGGTAACAGGTGTTCCTGTACTGACATAGAGGGCACTGTAATCACTGACAATGGAAACCACACAAGTTCTACTGAGGGGTTACTATTCACATATTAAGCCTTGTTCAGAACTAGAACAAACACTAACGATGAAATCAACCACATAAATGTAAATTCTAGACCTCCCACTTTAATTTAGCAGACATTGACTGGTTTTATCATTTTTCACTCATTAGATATGCATCTGTTATAAAAGTGACAACAGATAGATTCCAAATCAGTCAAGTTTTAACAGCATAATCTCCACTGTCAACTATACCTGCCGATTCAACTTCAATTCAAACATTCAATACCCAAAGATAGAAACAAACAACCTGTCGGCTGACACCTTGGCTGTTTGAGATGCATAATGAGAAAGAAATATAAAATCAATCAGTCAAGATATCTGGCAAGTTGTTTTCAATACGAAACTTAAATAGTCATATTTACAAAGTTATTATCTTAAAATCAACAAATCTGACAAAGATCTACCCAAGGTGCCTACATATAAATTAAATTTGAATAATTGGGCAAGCAGCTCTCAATAACAAGTCAGAATAGCCTTTATAACAAAATTAGAAAATTGAAAATATCATTATCAAACGAACAAATCTGAATGAGGTCCACCTGAGGTGTTTATATATTCAACATCACAGAAATCAGACTTGAGGTTTTCAATTAAAATTCAAAAATATCCTAATATCATAAATTATAGAAAGGTAGATACCAACTTGAAAATAACAAATCCAATGAGACTTGTGGTTTCCAAAACACTGGACGAAAACAGACAATCAGGGATTAGCTCATATGACTAGCTTTGCTCACAAAAGTTGACAGCAGAGCTGAAAATGAACCGTGTGAAATATACGGTAAATAGGTCAAAGTAGGTCAAGAAACAATTACAACTGAATAGACAGGTTTATTGTAATATGGAGACAAGCCTGCTTATAGCGATCCGAAAATACCCAGACGACCTTTACCACAAACCCCCTGCTTCTAAAAGTTGAATGCCCAATCCTTAGAGTAATAATGCCCAATCCTTAGAGTAATTTTCTGCAAACCATGTATTTAAATTGTGTAGCAATGTTCTCAGGCACAAAGAATGAAGACTGTACCCACAGTTAAGGTGAGGCTTTATAATATCTACATTGGCAAGGTTCCAATGAACAACACAGATGCGGTGAGTAATAACAGCTACTAAGTGCAGCCAAGACATGTGCTTTCATGTCATGCATATTAGTAACACACCTCTAATGGAAGGATGTGCTGAGAGAGAAATATTCACTTCATACGATATCACGTCTTGTATAAAACCACAATCTGACAATTTGTACCCAGTATGAGATTATGCAACAATGGATATTGTTTCATTTCATTATTATTCAAGAATCAAATGATACAAGACAGAATAGAAACTCTTTCTGACATAAGCGACATGACAAGAGTGCAAGGAGCCAGTTGGCAATGCAGACAGGAATGAG